AAATTCATAACTCGGGGTTCTGAGATGCTAGAAAGCTGAAATTTTAGGGGAATGTTCCCCGTCCTAGTAGGTGCTAATGAGCTCAAACCCAACCCCCGGGTAAGCGTAGTACCCGCGTACGGGCCAGCCAAAATTCCTCCCGCGTAAATTCATAACTCGGGGACCTGCAATGCTAGAAGACTGTAACATCAAGAGAGTTTCTCGTCCACATTATTCTCAACGAGATCAAACCCAACCCTCGGTCATGCGTGGTACCTACGCACGGTTCATCAAAGTTTTCTCGGGTAAGCTTATAACTCGAGAACCTGTAGAGCTAAAAGACTGTAGTTTTAGGAGGATGTTACCCGTCCAAGTAAGTCTCAACAAGCTCAAACCCGGACATCGGGTGTGCGTGGTACCCGACTGCGGGCTCGTGAAAAACTTTTTTCAATAAATTGCTAACTCAGGAGCCAGGAAACCTAGAAGGCTGAAATTTTAAGGGGGTACTTCTTGACAGTTTTGGTAGCTAGTCTTAATTTGTTTAGCTAGAAGGATCTGCCGAAAAAAACCGATGCCGGTAGCGACAATAGCTGCGGGGAACAGTGCAAAAAACGCATCATCGCACGGACAGCCCGTGCGTTGGCCAATTATTGCAATTTGTATATAGGCAAAAACGCATATTGCAACGACCCTGTCTGTGTGTGTGTGTGTGTGTGTGTGTTCGTCTGTCCCAATATTTCAACCCGACAGCCAAGCAAGTCCCAGCGCCAAGGTTTTACTAGTGGATTCCCCGGCCAAGTGCCACCCCAGGACCGCGATATCAACCCTCACGCAAGTCTGGGCCTTACGTACGAGAGAGTGAAAGTTTTGGTGGGAAAATTGATAACTCGGAAACGACAAAAGGTAGAAAGCTGAAACTCTGAGGTTATGTTCCCCGTCCACATGCAACTCGAAGATTTCAAATTCAGCCCCCAGGCGTGCGTGGTTCCCGCGTACAGCGCCATGAGAGTCCCTGGCGCAAAAATCGATAGCTTAAAAACCAGGAAAGCTGGGAGGCTGAAATTTTCAAGGAATGTTCCCAGCATTAGTACAACATAAATCTATCAAATTCAGCCCCCAGTCTTGTTTGGTTCTCACGTACAGCCCCGTGGAGTTTTTTGGCGGGAAAATGACTAACTCGCAAACTAGCAAAGCTGGGAAGCTGAAGTTTTCAGAGGATGTCCCCAGCCTACGTATGACTTAAAATTATCAAATTCAGCCCCCAGGCATGCGTGGCTTTTATGAACGGCCCCGTGGAAATCTTTGGCGCGAAAATCGCTAACATGGAAACCAGGAGAGCTGGGAAGCTGAAATTTTCAAGGAATGTTCCCAACTTAAGTACAACATAAACTTATCAAATTTAGCCCCTAGTCATACGTGTTCCTCACGTACGGCCGCGAGAAACTTTTTTGGCGGGAAAATGGCTGACTCGGGGAGCAGGAAAGCTGGGAGGCTGAAATTTTAAAGGGATGTTCCTAGCCTAAATACAATTTGAAAATTCCAGACCTGGCCCCCAGGTATGCTCCCAGATCACGTGCGGCTCTGTGAAAGTTTTGGCGAGAAAATTGCTAACTCGGGAACCAGAAAAGCTGGAAAGCTGAGATTTTAGGAGAATGTTCCCCGTCCAAACACAACTTAAAGATTTCAAATTCAGCCTCCATGTACGCGTGGTTCTCGTGTACGGGGACTTAGATTTTTGGCGGGAGAATTACTCATTGAACAGCTGGGTCATTTTCAAAAAAACGATCACTAAACGGAAATTGTTTATTTCCTTTCATACAAAACTTACGATGACTTACGGTATTGAGCGTACAAGATAGGTGTGAAGAAACAATCATTCATGCAGTTAACCTAATTACCTCAACTTTGGTGCCAAAACGCATGTCGCATGGTGCGTTCCAGCCTAGGTTTGACAAACAATCGCTCAAGCAACACTTTCACTTTTTCGTGGATTGGAAATTTGCATTTTTTCAAAAAATTTACATTTTTCATTTTTCGAAAAGCGAGCATTTACCGAAAAAACGACCGGGCTTCATGCAAAAATCCGGGTCCATGCCGCTCTACAATGTACCACTTTCATCCCAGCCGATGCCTTCCCTCCTGCACGTCGGAAGCGGTCAAAGCACGGCCAACGTGAGCCCAAGCGTTAGACTACAATGCAGGGATCATTCCTGCAACTAGCGACCTGCGAGTTTAGTGCAAAAACGCATGATCACACCGGCAAAGCTGGTGCGTTCCAGCCTGGGTTCGAAGATCTACCGCTCACCGGAAGAAAACCGGGTTTCAAGCAAAATTAATAATCATAAACGCTGGAGATAGATTCTGCGGCCCCATGATGCAACGCTACCAACTCAGCCGACGCAATTTTCTCTGAGTGCAGGAAAAGGCAGAAAGAAGTACAACTAACATGGGCCTGTGTTTTAAAATACAATGCAGGAACCACTGCTGCTGTTAACGATCTACCTGTTGCGCGTTTAGTTCAAAAACGCATGATCGCACCGGTCAGCCTGTTGTGTTGTAGCCTAGGTTGATGCTAGAAATGTGATAATTTCGCAAATTTCGTTCCCATCAGTCGTTGTAACAGCTATAATAGTAAAACAATATTTTGCCTGCAAACAGTTTACGCTTATTAAAAAAGTTGATAACGGTAATCCAGGACAGCAAAATTCGATACTGCCATGCTCCTTGTATATTGTGCATCTCGTTAACATTGCTAGCCCATATTAGTGGTGGCCGCACTG